ATAAATTAATGATAAATAATGATTCTTACTTGAACATAAACAACTAAATCTGAAAGTTTGCCTTTGAAAATACTGCTGGAAGGTTCTAAGTGACTTATTGAAGTTCAAAATTGTTCTAACTTGGCTTTGGAGCATTCTAAAATAGTTCTGAAGTTTCCAAATTGTTCAAAAATATTTTTTGGAAATTCTAGATTGAATTTCAAGTGTTTTAAAGTTTTGAATAGGCTCTAGTAACTTCTTAATTGAATTAAAAACGAATTTTGTAGAAAGTTTTCAGTATAGGGCGAGTTCTAAAAAGAAATTTACTTTAACTTATTTTGTACATTTGTCTAGTAACTCACCTAATAATCTCCGCTTCTATTGCTCTAAATACATATTATTGAATTAGGAACCCAGTCTTATGAATATATATGCTTCTGTACAAAATACGATTATTCTTAACTTAAGTATAACCTACTATCTTAAATTATAATTTTTGTTATTCGAAACATATAATCCTCATAAATAATGTTTTGAATAAAGAATTTTGGTGTGTTCCTAATTTCGGCAATTATTAAATAATGCATTGCAATTGGGATTTGAAGTAAATAGTTGATAGAGTTTTATAGTGTAAAATTGTAATTTTGTTGCTTGAAAAGTATATTAAAGTCTAATCTTGTTAAACTTAGAATAAGTTAACTATTTTGAATTGATAATGTATAGTTAAGGTTTTTGAAATACCTGATTGCAATTTTTTGAGGTTTTTGTGCAGAGGATAAAACTAAAAAGACTTATAGCTGTCTAGAAGTAATATATGCACGCTTATACATTGAAGCTTTATTCTCAGAAAATTTTAAAGCTCAACTTTGTAAGTAAATCATTTTGTACAAATTATGTAAAATATGTAATTAGTAAATGTGTGTGAAGTTTTTTTTTTTTTGGAACAAGGACATATTCAAAAGCAATTATTAACTAACTTTTCTATAAGCACTCTCGTCCTTAATCCAAAATATATTATTAAAAAACTTATATTCCCGATAATTATCCTCAATATTCAAAAACCTCTTTAAATTTATTAAATAATAATATATTTATCATGCGTTTGTTAAAAAAAAATTAAATATTTAAAACTGTATATTGAATGAATTTACTATACAAATAGCAATCTCGCTCGATTCTTTCACTAGTTCTGTAGAAAGAAAAAATGTGATCTAAATACTAGTTTTTAATCTTAAATATAGGTACTATTTTTTGGTAAATTTGAATGTAAGTCATAATAAATCATAAAATAATAATAATGCCAGAGATCTGTAAATAAAACTTAAACAATATATAAACTGGGGAGTTCAATTAAAAATTTTAAAAAGAATCACACATTTAAAGTTAAAATTCTTCTGAAACGGTTTACATCATCTTTTTGTGATAATTACTAATTTATAAAATGATGTAAATAACTACTTATTTAAAAATTTTAGAATTAAATATAAAAATATATTATTCGAATACTCTGTGGCAAGCTTTATAGCAAATAACAAGGCACTCGTTTGTTTATCACTTAATAATTTACACCATTAATTATATTTGGAGTGAAATATTTATTAAATTTTTTTATATCTGCACCAAGAAGGCTTTCTTCTTTTAATATTTAAAGAAAACAATTCTCATACAGGGTTATTATAGAGCAACTTCAAATTTTGAATCTTTCTTTTGTGTGTCCAACAAAAGTATTAATTAATTAATTAGATAAAGGAGAAAATCTTTAACAATTATATGCAGATGTGTCAGAGGTTTTCTTTTTTCAAAAGAACCCAAGGGTCCAAAAAATGTTTACAAAAAACTAAAAAAATACTTGTATATTTTGCTAAATATTAACCAGTAGTAATTTGTTTTAAAACACACATTGTTCCTGCTATAAATATCGAAATAAAAAAAACTAAATTCTGGGTTTATTACTTTAAAACAAAAGTCTTCCAGAATGAGAGCAATATGTTTCATGCCTCTATTATTTCAAAAAAAATATGCTTTATGTATTAAAAATGTAAATATTTCTTTGGTTGCACTATTAGCGATTATTGACAATCATATTTTAAAGAGACTGCTTCAAGTTTTTTGATATTCTAGCAGGAATCAAAATCTAGCGAGAAGGGTAAAGAGGCAGCAAATTTATTTCCCTTCCAAAAAATTGTAAATTTTAATCCAAAAAGTGTAAAAATATCATCATACACAAATTTTAGCTAATTAGGTTCCACATAACTCTTCCCCAAAAAATAGTAATGTAGGCTGCTGCACTTGGTTTTTAATAATAATAAACTTATGACACGTTTTATTAAAATTCCTAATTTTTACCTAGTGTCCTTAATATAACTACTTATGATTAATTATTAGTTTATTGCAAAAATAAAATATCCACGATTATGAAATTTAAATAAATGTCAGAATTTTTGAATCTGATATTTTGGTTGTTTGATTTTTTTTCCTGCTTCTCAACCATTCTTCCAAAAACTCATGTAAATTTGAGTTTTTTTTTTTTTAAAGAAGTTGGTCGCAAAACAAACATTGGATTATTTTCCAAGAATTGTACATATCTACAACATTTCTCTTGAATGAACTTATGGCCCTTTACGAGTTGGAAATATGAAAACATTTGCTTCAAGTTGAGAGTTCCACATTCATCTTTTAACAGGTGAATAATATTTTCTCTATCAGCATTGGGTTTTTTTTTTTCAAAATCGGTATGGTTTTAGGGCACTTATGGTAGTATAGGACTACAATCCCTGAAAGAAAATTTCAGCTCATTTGGATTTATAGTTCCAGAACTAAAATCGTGTTAGGCAATTTAGGATGATTTATTAATTTATCAATTTTTCTGAGTGCCTTTTTTCAAAGAATCCGGGTCCAAATCTCAGAATAATTTAGTGTATGAAATTTGGGGGGTCCCAAAGGATCATTAAGACACAGAATCTCAACAAAAAAAAATTTGAAATTTCATCGTTTTAGTAGGTACTGAGATAGTTACCTACCTTATGATTTAAATTTTGGAAAACTTTGAATTCTTATTCCAGTAGAGGACTACAATGCTTGAACATTTCAGTTCATTTGGACTTATAGTTCCAGAAATAGAATCGTGTTAAGGAATTTGGTGTGATTTATCCAATTGTTCTGAGTGCCTTTTTGCATAGAATCCAGCTCCAAATCTCAGAACAATTTAGTGTATGGATTTTGAGGGATCCCAAAGGACCATTAGGACACATAATCTTAACAAAAAAACTTTGGAAATTTCATCGTTTTAGTACTGAGGTCAGTAGCGTAACTTGACATCAGGGGGCCCCGGTGCAAGATTAGATCAGCCCGCCCGCCATTGACCCCGCCGGAGTTTTCTTTGGGTGCCACGCCCAAAAACGGTAATTTTAAGCCTTCAAAAATAGTATATGTGTACTTAAGTGGAAAAGTGACACATTCTCGGCTGACGGTGTGAGTTGCAATCACCGAAGGCCGAGAATAATGCGCTTTTCCTCTGAAATCTGTATTTCAGAAAAAATTGAATCTGTACCTATACAATTTTTTCTGCGATCTCTCCAGTAATGGGAAAAATGAGGAATGCTTCTGTGTTGTTCGTAAAAATCAGCACGATTTCCCAACCTAGGCCGGAAAAGTGATTCTCGTACTGTTATCTGTTATCCATTGAATCCTTAGCAATCACTTTCCCGGCCTAGGCCGGAAAAGTGATTTCCATACTGTTATCCATCGATTCCTTAGCAACCATTGAAAATACGTGAACATTGAGTTTTGCGACCTGTCAACTGGTCAAAAATTATGACATTTCTTGTCGATCGCAGAAAAACATTTTTTTTCCATATTACATATTACGAATTTAATAATAGTAGATTATACCACGAGCCAATAATGATAGCTATTATTCCAGAGGATAATTACGAACTGAGCCGCGTTAGCGGCGAGGCAGTAACATTCCGAGGGAATAATAGCCATTATTGCGAGTAGTATACTCTACTTTATTTACGACAAATTAATTTATTTGAAATTTTCAATGAACAAATTTCATCCGTCTCATAATTTTCAATACAAATCCACAAGCACTACACGTTTGACACTGACACTTTTGTGGAATAATGACCATTAATCCCGCTACTCGTCATTAATCCCTGGAGGAATAACATATGTCATTATACTGCTAAAATCACAAATATAATACGCACATTATACATTAGTCGTAAATAAAATAAGTAGGTACTTATGACAAATGAAAGGCCCCGCAGGCGCCTCGCAAGTCTTGGGGGCCTCGGTGATTTGCACCGAACTGCCCTATTATAGTTACGCCAGTGACTGAGGTAGCTACGTTTTAGGTTTTGGAAAACTTTGAAAGGTCATAACTTTTTATATAGGTAGATAATATTATAGATAGAAAGCTGAAATTTTCAGTGATTCTTTTTCCAGTAGTAGAGGACTGCAATGCCCAAAAATTTCAGCTCATTTGAACTTATAGTTCCAGGAATAAAATCGTGTCAAAAAATTTGGGGTGATTCATCAATTTTTCAATTTTTCTGAGTGCCTTTTTTCATAGAATCCGGCTCCAAATCTCAGAATAATTTAGTGTATGAATTTTGGGGGATCCCAAAGGACCATTAGGGCACCAAATCTCAACAAAAATGTTTTTGAAATTTCATCGTTTTGGTACTGAGGTAGCTACATTTTGATTTAGATTTTTTTCTATTACAGATAGAAAGCTGAAATTTTCAGCGATTCATATTCCAGTAGAGGACTACAATCCCTGAAAATTTCAGCTCATTTGGACCTATAGTTCTAGAAATAAAATTGTGTTAAGCAATTTGGGGGATCTATCAATTTTTCAATTTGCTCGAGTGCCTTTTTTCAAAATTGGTACGGTTTTAGTATATTCATTATTGTCTTTAATATAGTTTTTTGAACTTTCTTACTACACATTTTTTCTTTATAGTTCTCAAAAAATACTTCCCAAAACTTGAACCTTCAAAAAAAACTCTCATTTCTCAGATTATATTTGTAATATTTTATTCAAATAAAAACAAAAATTAATATTCATCCAGCAATAATATAAAAAAACTACCTTGAAGCAGTTCATAAATGCATGTAATATAAAACTTAAACCAAAGTTATCTTAAGGTTTGCAATGGTTCAAGTATCTAGGATACAAACAAACTTCCCTAATATGGTAGCGGTTCAACAACCAACAAACGAACCTCTCCAATCCCAGACCGTAACCACCATGAGGACACGTGCCGTATTTTCTTTGGTCAGTGTACCAGAAGTAAGGTGCCGGATCGATACCTTCGCGTTTATACCCGTCCAATAATTCCTTAGAATCCCAGATCCTCATTGAACCTCCAACAATTTCTCCAACATTTGGAAGCAAGACATCTACACTCTCAGTTAAACGCACATCTTCAGGACATTTGCTCATGTAGAAGGATTTTATATTAGCCGGGAATCTACATAGCATTATTGGCTTGTTGATTTTGTCAGTCATTTTACGTTCAGGCATTTCTGGAATATCCTGTAAGTAAATTTAAATGTTAGTTTGTGTATTTTTTTTGGAATTGTTTAATACCTCTCCAAATTCATAAAAACTGCCATCCTCTTTAGTAATGTTGTTTTCCTTCAAATACTCAATAGCCTCGGAGTAGTTCATTCTTAAAAATGGCCTCGTGGGCACTTGGAAGTTGGGGTTTAGCTCGTAAACAATAGGTCCATAGGGTGATTTTAGGACTCTGTCTACAACGTCGCAAATTAGGTCTTCTAGCCTGTCCAGCAGGTCATTGAAAGTGATGAAGGGACATTCAGCTTCAACATGGGTATATCTATTCAGAAAATTTAGTGCATCTATAATGATTTAATTACTTACTCTGCTAAATGTCTTCTGGTCCTGCTCTGTTCGGCTCTGAAACTTTCAGCGATAGTGTACACGTCGCCCATAGATGGAAGGCAAGTTTCTAAGTAGAGTTGAGAGCTTTGAGTCAGGTAAGCTTCTTCCCTAAAAGAATTGGGCTTTGATAAAAATCAATAAAAAAATAACTAGAAGGTAGAATGGGGAAAAAAGACACTGCAGAGTAAAAGTTTATGTAGCAAAATTGTAGTTCAAAGTATCTACTTTTAGAGTCTATTTTTGTTTATGAGATTTTTCTGGAATTAGAGGAGTAATAATTGGGTACCTATAAGCAAGTCACAATTCAATATTAGTAGTTTTAAACTTTGTAGAGTAAAAAATAGTTTTTGTTGTATATGCTGTAAAGAAAGAATATAAGTAGGAAAATTGTACATCAAAGCGTCTATCTTTTAAGGCTATTTAAGACGGTCAACTGACAATTCTTACCCAAAATAATCCAATTTAAACAAAGTAGATCCGCCTTCTACTTGAGTTTGTACAATAGAAGGAGGCGTAATTTCGCAATAGCCTCTGTCCAAATAATGATCTCTGAACGCTTGTAGTAAAACAGATCTCATCCTCAAAACCTTGGAGGTGTTTTCGCCTCTGATCATGATGTGACGGTTTTCAGCTTGCACGTCAGGCAAAGCTTCTTCGTTGAGCAAGGCTTCGGCGCCACCTGGCGGAGCCAAACCGATCAACTCCCAATAGTCGACCATTAGTTCGTGTCCACCTGGTGCCTGAAAGTTATGAATTAATGTATATGAGAGTAAATTATTCAATCACTGTTGTTGTTTATTTATGTTAAAATATTAATAATGAGAGAATTCTTACTGATTTGCCTTCTGGAACTGCTTTCAAGACACCATACAACAATACAGTAGATTCAGTTTGTAAAACCAAAGCGTTATAAGTTTGACATAAAGTGTTGTTCAAGACTGATTGAAGAAATCCAGTGCCGTCTCTCAAAGTGATAAACATCAGGTTCTTGCCTTGCTTACGAATCCTGTGAGCCCATCCGTAAATCTTTACACGTTTGTCTCTATAGTTAGCAGCTTTGATGATTTTTATGCGTTCAGCTGTAGGCAGAGACTTGTCTTCTTCGATGATGATTTTTTTACCTTCCTCCAAGTTTTTCGTTCTTCTTTCCGCATCTTCTCCTTCTTGGTTGGCCTTGTCGGCTTGCTTATATTGTTCTCTATTCTGAAAAAAAAAAATTAAAATCAGTAAGTATTTATTACGTACCGGACGCACGCCAAGTCAAGTATCTTCTAACATTTTAGCTAAAACTCAATTTAATTGAAAAAACAAACAAATATAGGTATTAGTAAGGAAAAGTACATAATCATTGAGTTTCAGATTCACTTCAGATTTGTTTAATTTAAAGAAGACTCTAATTATGACTTCCTGAAAGTTTGAAGTGGCTCTGATCCCTAGAAGTATTTTTCAAAAGCAAAATGTACGCATCATAATTCTATTTTTTTCTATTTAAGATAGAAAGCTGAAATTTTCAGGGATTCTTATCCCAGTAGAGGACTACAATCCCTGAAAATTTCAGCGCATTTGAACTTATAGTTGCAGAAATGAAATCGTGTTAAGCAATTTGGGTTGGATTTATCAATTTTTCTATTTTCCAAGTGCCTTTTTTCATAGATTTCCGCTTTATCTCTCGGAATAATTTAGTGTATGGAGTTTGGGGGATCCCAAAGGACCATTAAGACACATAATCCCAACAACAAAAAAAAAGAGATTTCATCGTTTTAGTACTGAGGTAGCTAGCTACCTTATGATTTAGATTTTGAAAAATTTTGAAAGGTCATAACTTTTTTTCTATTAAAAATAAAAGGCTGAAATTTTCAGTGATTTTTATCCCAGTAGAGGACCACAATCCTTGAGAATTTCAGCTCATTTGGACTTATAGTTCCAGAAATAAAATCCCTTTAAGCAATTTGGGGTGATTTTATCAATTTTTCAATTTTTCTGAGTGCCTTTTTTCATAGTTCAAGTTTGCACAGACAATGGGGTTGTAAGAGATGGTAGAATTCTATCATTAGACTCATTAGTGTAGGAAAAATAATACCTAACTCTAATTGAACACGACTTTTTTATACTGTTTATAAAATGTTTAAATCATTTAAATTACAAAAAATAGAGAATACTACCTATACCTAATATAGAAATGCAAAGAAGAAAGAGATCTTTTTAACTCCTATAAAAATCCTAAACAAATTTGAGAAACATTGAGGCAATATGTAATTATTCAAAGGTAAAAAGAATATTTTATTTGAAATAATTGTTTTGTTAGCAGTATAAAATCCCTGATAAAATCCATCATATTATCATCACGCCATTTTTCCAATTGATTGATTTCGATAAAAAAATTCAATATAACAATAATTATAAGTAACTAACAATAATACATTTGTTTACATATTTCAAAATTGTTAATTCTTCTAGACAGCAAATTTTTTACATTGTATAAATACAAATTTATCAGTGCAAAATTGCAATAACAATGATAAAATATAGAGTGTTCGGAATAACTTGAAGTACATGAGGATTTTGGAAACCATTGCAGATACAGGGTGGACAAAATGTGGGAAAAGTTGTGCAATATAAAGACTCTGTCATCGACTTCTTTGAACTCATAATAGCAACAGTTATACAGGGCAAGAAAGAAAAAAGAGCGTTTTATGAAATCCTTTATATCTTGTTTATTATGAAAGATACAATAAAGAAATTTCCAGGGTAGGTGTAGGACTAGTGATGTGAGTCGAGAATATTCCCATGCGAATATTCGCAAACATTGGGAACTTTCCGAGAATATTTGCCGATAAAAAATGGAAACGTTCTCCTGAATGAGAATATTCCCGGAAACTTTCAATCAAAAACTCTCAAAAGAATATTTCCGAGAACTTTCGACAATATTTCCAAGAACTTTCCAGAATATTTGCGAGATTATTGCGAATACAAGGTCTCAGTGACGTCATTTCAATTTATGTGGATTATGTAGCCCAGTCCAGCTGTCTTTACGGAAATGCTGATCCGATTTACCCGATAATCTTCATTGAAGAAAGATAAAAAATAAAAAGCTGAGAGATTGGGTTAATCGGATCAGCTTTTCCTTTAAAGCCTCATTCAACCATCCATAAAAGTGTTTTTATTACATAGTTTAATTTTTAGCTGATCTTACAGAAAAATAGGTGTACCAGTACACTACAATAATAGGTAAATAAAGCTTACTACGATTTGTCTGATTTAGCTATAAATTTAACAAAAAAAAAAAACTTAGGTGCCGCTAAATAGATGTAGAAGTAATATTATTTGTGTATGTTAGTTAAAACAGTTGATTGTAATTGTGTTTGAATAAATTTATTATTATTATTATTATTATTAATATTTCCATAAGTTTCCGAAAATTTTCAATATTTCTGAAAAGTTTCCGAGAATGTTCGCGGCTTTTGAATGTTTCGGGAATTTTACATCACTATAACAGATTATTTGTAGGCACTTGACTAGTGATGTAAAATTCCCGAAACATTCAAAAGCCGCGAACATTCTCGGAAACTTTCCGGGAATATTGGAAACTTTCGGGAACTTATGGAAATATTGTTTTTTTTGTTTTTAATTTATAGCTAAATCAGACAAATCGTAGTAACCTTTATTTACCTATTATTGTGGTGTACTGACTATAGACTATAAACCAAAAAAAACACCTATTTTTTTCTGTAAGATCAGCTAAAAATTAAACTATGTAGTAAAAACACTTTCATGGACGGTTGAATAAGGCTTCAAAGAAAAAGCTGATCGGATTAGCCCAATCTCTCAGCTCTTTATTTTTAATCTTTCTTCAATGAAGATTATTTTAAAAAAAGACAAACTGTAGGTACATCAGCTGGTGATTGGGTAAACCAGATCAGCGTTTCCGTAAAGACAGTTGGACTGGGCTACGTCATCCACATAAATTGAAATGACGTCACTGAGACCTTGTATTCGCAATAATCTCGCATTTTTATAAAATTCTTCTGGACAGTTCTTGGAAATATTCTTGAAAGTTCTCGGAAATATTCTTTTGGGAGTTTTTGATTGAAAGTTTCCGGGAATATTCTCATTCAGGAGAACGTTTCATTTTTTATCGGCGAATATTCTTGGAAATTTCCCAATGTTTGCAAATATTCGCATGGGAATATTCTCGACTCACATCACTACACTTGACTGCACCAAAATCCCCAAGTACTACTTCAAATTATTCCGGACACTGTGTAGATTCATTTTTTGACCTGGTGAAAAGTCTTACCCAAATTTTCTGTATTTTCTTCAGCTGAGATTTAGCGGCTACTTCGAATTTAACACCCTCTTCCTTGCCATCTGAGTAAATAACAGGAAAGGGTTCGGCACCAGCTGCACGCATGGCTTGCAAAATGGTTTTGAATGGTTTTTCCTCGGTTCCATTGCCGGTTTCGTCGTTGCCAGTTTTTTCAGAGGTGTAAATAGCTTTAAGTGAAAAATATACATAAGTATTTTCTTACATTTAATAATTATTGAATTTTACCTATCTTAGTGTCTCCAGACATTTTTGCTTATCTTCTTGTGTTGTTCCCTGGAATTTGAGTAAAAATTAAATTACTTTTTATTTGTTTTTTTTTTTTTCAAATTATCATAGCTGCCGGTATGCAACTTCAACAATACAGGTTCAATATTGAGCAAGTTTTGATATGAAATTTACCTACAAGCGTGTGGAAAGTGCACTTTATCGCACTTATTTGCAAGTGGAAAGTTGCACTTTATGGCATGGTGTGAGGTAAAGTAGACTGCAAAAGTGTGCGGTAAAGTAGACTTTGGTATTTGGTAAATCTCTTCTCTTTCAGATATTTCAATTATGCCTTTTTTTGGAGATATACCTAGATGCTGTTCATAGGTGAAATTTTGTACCTAACATATACGCAAAATGCCTTAAGGGCCAAATTATGGACCAACTGGTAAGTGTATGGTTGTTACCTAGCAAGTACTTTCTATTCTCTAGTGCATAGAAAGTACCTGCTAGGTAACGACCAGACGTTTACTAGGTACCTACTTACAGTATTTTCATAAAATCATAAATAATTAATAGAGTATTAAAGGCAAGGCAATCTAAATACAATATATACAATGGGATCAGGATCAGTGCATTGCAGTGCACATTATTGCATCAGCTTAATTTTTCTGGTGCAACATATGATTTATTGAGGATTTTTGAAGAAAATAGAAAAATAAATAATTAACCAACAAATATACTTAACAAGGGAATTTAAAAGAAAAAACTTACCTTCCAATAATAAAGTACCAAGGTGATATTTCTATAATTAGTATTCACAGAAAAATCCACAAAATATGGAAATTACATGTGTGAAAATAAGATTTTCGTTATTTAGGAGTTTTAGGACCACCCGGCACGTTACACGAAGAACGAACACGATTATTCGATACAGAGCTGGAGTGGAGTCAGAGCAGTTTTTGTCAGACGTTCTAGAGTAAAGAGAGCGTTTGTACCTTGTACCCGAACGACCGGAACTTTTGGAGCAAAACACTGTGAAAAAGCTGATTTTCAGTTTTTAGGCTAGGGATATGACGATGTATTTTTTTTCAAGCTATGTATACTAGAAATCTTCTTTCTGGAGGAAGATTTTTTGGAGTGATGAACGTAAAGTGCCTATAGAGTACTTTACGTTCGAAATCACCCTGAGCCGCTTTCCAGTATGGGAGTGTGACGCCCGGAGCTACTCGGGGCGTTGAGCCCCCGAGCTGTACGTACGCGTCAACCTATCAGCTGTCACATCCGCGGGTGGCTATTTATCTATTTATTTCTTGTTATATCTCAAGATTGAACATTTTAAAATAGATAGTTTTGATTCTCTTTCATTTTTGATAAATAAAAAAACAAACTGCACAAACAGATAATTATTTTTAAAATTTGACATATTTGACACTAAGACAGGCGTCTCACGCCATGATACTGGAACGGTACAAATCTAGTGCGTGGCGCCCCCGAGGTGCTCTGGAGCGCGCCAATGTGCATACTGGAAAGCGGCTCTGGGCGTCACGGTCACACCGAGTGCACACCAACTATGAATTATTCATGGCTGGGTTGCGTTTAGAAATAGCACTCTGGGTGTGAGAGTGACCCTAGAGTAACTCTAAACCGTTCATAAATTAACAGGTGCTTACTCGGAGCGTTACGCTGGAATCGTTCAGAAATCGAGAGGTGACGTGCCCAGAGTGCGCCCAAATTACCCCACTCAGGGCCGAGTTCAGAAATAACGCACAGGATGCGAGTGCGATTTTATGAGTGTGCCTGAATTGACAATTGGCCATTGGGCCCATAGCACTGTCTAGCATTTTTGAACAGCTAGGGCGTCGCACCGGTGTCACACTCACACTGGGTGTGTCATTCCTGAACTCGCCCCATAGGGACTGGGTTGAAAAACGCCCCGGGGTACGTTCAAGGACGGCAATGCTAATGCCAAAACCTACTTTTTCCCCTCCACCTGTAATGCCTAACCACGTAGGTTAGAGCCGAACTCGAACGCAAAATGCCAATTTTGGCTTGGCTAAAGCCATTCCTGAACGCAGCTCAGAGGTTTTTTACCGGGTTTGACGTTGACATTTAGCGCAACACCCCAATTACGTTCATAAAAGGCGCACCCAGTGTGCACTCCAAGTGATGACGTCAGAACACTCTGACAAACAACTACTCTACCTTCACACTCCATTTCTAAACGCACTCAGGTGTGCACTCAGTGTGACGCCCAGGGTGATTTCGAGCGCACTCTAGAGTTAACGGAGTGAGAAATCCGTTTTCTTAAAGCAACAGAAAATTTGGATATATAGAAACTGAATGATGTATTAATAATTTGTTTGGAATCTTTCTGTCTACTATTACGTCTTTAATAAGAAACCAAATTATACTTGAAGCTCATTTAACACATTGGAACGAAATTAATTAATTAATTTTAATTTTGCCGCTTCTCAAATCATCTCTAGTTTACGCAGTCGCAGAATATAGACAACTGACAATTTTCATTTTTGACAGTCGACCGACACTTGACAGTAGCATAAATTCTTTCTTTCTCGTGTAGCACGTTGCGTCGAACGTGTGAAAATGAGGTTTGTGTTGAATTTTCTACTTTATTTAAAGTGTTTTTCCTTATATTTATCAACTTTTCATATAAACTCACTGCTGAAATCCCTTACTTTCTGCTCTCTGCAAAATTTGAGCCCCAAAATCGGTTAGTGTACTCGATGGATGATGGGGAAAAATTGCACCACATTGTCCTGTCAAAATGTTTTCTTTTCCTTTGAAAATAATTCACAAAGGGCCCCTTTGGTGGAAAACTAATTTAATGTCCAATTTACAGTTCCCTAAAACTCCAAAAGAGGCTGGCAGCCTCTGTGATGCGATGTGGCAAGAAAAAAGTTTGGTTAGATCCTAACGAAATCAATGAGATCGCCAACACCAACTCCAGTAAGTAATTTAAATGGCAAAGAAACTATTAAAATGGTTTTTAATTGTTTTATTTATTAGGGCAAAACATCCGTAAATTGATCAAGGATGGTTTGATCATCAAGAAACCTGTAGCAGTACACTCTAGGGCCCGTGTACGTAAAAATACTGAGGCTCGCAGGAAGGGAAGGCATTGTGGTTTTGGTAAGAGGAAAGGTACTGCCAATGCTCGTATGCCCCAAAAGGTATAAATTCTGCTCAAAATATATAACAAAATAACTAAAATTTTTTTCTCTATGTTAGGAATTGTGGATTCAAAGAATGAGAGTACTGAGACGCCTTTTGAAGAAATACAGGGAAGCCAAGAAAATCGACAGACATCTGTACCACTCCCTGTACATGAAGGCGAAGGGTAACGTGTTCAAGAACAAGAGAGTCTTGATGGAATACATCCACAAAAAGAAGGCAGAGAAGGCGCGTGCCAAGATGTTGTCAGACCAGGCCAATGCCAGAAGGCAAAAGGTCAAACAAGCGCGTGAGAGACGTGAAGAAAGGATTGCTACCAAGAAGCAAGAGGTTCTTCAAAACTATCAAAAGGAAGACGAGGCCGCCGCTGCCAAGAAATAAATAGTTTTATGTTATTGATAATAAAAACTTCTAAAAATGTATATTGTTTTATTTTGACGAGATTTTTAGAAATATTTTTAGTGAATTTTTCTTTAAAATCTCAATATTGCAAAGGACCCCACTCAAACTGTTCTTTCATTTGTCCAATCCCTAAAAAAAAGAAAACAGTTTTATAGGAGGTAATTTGATTTTCTCCAAAATAACGTGTAGGGTACAGACATTTTACCTCACAACTTAATTATCAATAGTTCTGGAGGCAGAACCGTTGCATTGAATATATATCAAAATGTGGTGTGCACCAATGAAAATTCCATGAAATTTAAGCTTCAGAGTGAGGAGTTTATTTTTTTGTATCTTGCTCAGAAATTGACCTTTCAAACTACTCAAAGCTAGGATTTTTTTCCAAAATAAAACACACTTAAATAAAAACCATAATTCCTTTATTTACTATTTTTTTTACAAAATTTAATAAGTTGAAACCTTCTGAGGTGTGGATACAGTTTCAATTTCATACTCAACTTCTACCCTTGGTTTCTGGCCCTTCTTCGCTGATGAAGGTTTTGTGGGTTTCTTCCCACTACCCTTCTTACTTTGGGAAGTAGACGGTGTCATTATATCCTCAATGTCTGATCCGCCTGATGACTCAAAACTGCTGTCCAAATCCACACTTTCCGGTCTTCCACTGTCACTTTCAGCTTCGCTTTCATCAGAATCTGCTGCAACATATTCAAGCCTGTCAGCTTCATCTTCTAGTTCTTTTTCGTCTTCGATTTCTTCTTCTTCATCTTCCACTTCATTTTCTTCTTGGGCTTCATCAAAAGCAGTCTTGGGAATGTTGTATAGGTCTTGATACTAGAAAAATAGTTTCAATTAAGTGTTTTATTGGTAAATATTCGTCCACGGAAAATTGTTCGAAAGAAAATTGTTCAAACGGAAAATGGTACGAACGGAAAATTGTTCGAACGGAAAAATATTCGAACGGAAAATTGTTCGAAAATAATTGTTTGAAAGAAAATTGTTCGAACGGAAAATTGTTTTTTTGCCGAAAAATCAATAGTTTAACTGTGAATCGTGAATGAATCTATGACCACCGGAGTTACCCAATTCCTTAATTCTTACTATTTGTCCATGATTCTTAATTATTGGTTTTTTAAATTCAATATTAATATACAAGGACTAGCACGCATTAGGTGGACGGGTTAATTTGGGTTAGTTTGGGCTAGTTTACATATTTTTGTTTATTTTGGTCACGGTTCGTTTAATACTGGCTAAAAGTGTACTGCTTGACAATAGGAGGCGCTTGGTTTTTTAAATTTAATATTAACATACACGGACTAGCACGCATTACATGGACGGGTTAGTTTGCATATTTTTGGTTAGTTTTGTTACAGTTCATTTAATACTGATTAGAAGTGTACTGGTTGCCAATAATATTTTGACCTGTGCCCTTTTGTCCGCTCGCTTTTGAGCTGCGCTCTTTTGTACCAACGCCGAATTTACGGTTCCGCGGATCTTCTCTTTGAGATTCGGTGAGCGAAGCAAGCAATCGGAGATTCAAAAAAAATTGAAATTTCGTGCTGTTGTATTTAAAAAAGGTTTTTCAATTTTTTTTGGTAGATTTACGCTTCCGAGTCGTATAAGTACATTTATTAACAATTTTCCATTCGAACAATTTTCCCTTCGAACAATTTTCCTTTCGAACAATTTTCTGTTTGAACAATTTTCCTTTCGAAAAATTTTCGTTTCGAATAACTTTCCGTTCGAACAATTTTCCTTTCGAAGAATTTTCCGTTCGAACAATTATTTTCGAACAATTTTCCGGGACTCATAAATATTATTATTAACAACTTACTATTCCTTTTTTAAGCCTGTCTAATAAAGTTTTTTCAACACCTTTGTCTATTCTAGCGGCAATAAGTGCCTTTTCTTCTCTCCTCTTTTCTCTTCTTTCAATGTTCCTTTGTAAAGGTACAATCAATTTTCTGAAAATAATTTGAATTAATCATGTGCTATTAAAATTAGCAATTTGCTTACTGTCTTCTTAGTTTCAATTTCCTCATCCTAATCAAATACTGAGTGATTTTGACAAATCTCTGTTTGCATTTCGATTTTATAAATCCAGGCCAGTATAAAAGGTTTTCGTTAATTTGATGGATGGCTTTTTCAAAGTTTCGTGAAAGCTTCACTTTTTCCCATAGTTTTCTTGGAAAGGCAGATCTATAGAAAATTGATGAAATTAATTAATTTATTTATTTATTGAAACAACTAATACAGGTGGACATACTGTTAGAATTATTACATAAAGCTGTTTTTATTTTTTCGTGATATGTACTGTACAGGGTGACCAAAATTCGAGCCTCATTATTGGGATCTCGGTAACTGTAAGAGATACAGGGTCGATTAAATTATGGCAAACTTGCGCAATTTTATGACCAATAGAATGCCGTTTTGAAATTAGAAAAATTTCGAATATTTAAATTCAAATTTCAAATTCAAATTCAAAAATTCAAATTCAAATCATTCATTCAAAATCGTTTTGATTTTTTCCCGGGCTTATTTGAAGAACAATTTTGGAATAAAGGTCACTTCATCCTTGTCACTTTTTCCCCTTTAGAAGATGGTGCTACTAAATTTAAAATTTGACGGTTCGTCTTCGGGCGGCCATCCTCAACTTCCGTTTTTCAAAAACGGACCTGGACTTTTTATTTGCGATTTTGTCATGTTTGGGCATCCTAAAACCGATACTGTTTTTAATTTTTCAATAACACAGTAAAAAAGCAGGTCCGTATTTAAAAAAAAATAAATTGATGATGATTCCAGAGAAACGAAATGTTGGATTTCAAATTTAATACAGCCATCTTGTAGATAAGAAAAAGTGACAATTTTAGCAGGGGGTGACATTTATAATGAGTCGAAAATTGTTCGAAAATAATTGTTCAAACGGAAAATTCTTCGAAAGGAAAATTGTTCGAACGAAAAATTATTCGAAAAGAAAATTTTTCGAAAAGAAAATTGTTCGAACAGAAAATTGTTCGAAAGGAAAATTGTTCGAAGGGAAAATTGTTCGAATGGAAAATTATGCGAACGGAAAATTGTTTGAACGGAAAATTGTTCGAACGGAAAATTGTTGGAACAGAAAATTGTTCGAAAAGAAAATTGTTCGAATGGAAAATGGTTCGAATGGGAAATTGTTAATGAATGTACTTATACGCCTTGGAAACGTAAATCCACCAAAAACGTGGAAAACCTTTTTCAAATGCAGCATCTCGAAATTTCAAAATAGTGGATAGTGGAGTAACTATTAATGGTTTTAATTAGATTTAATTTTAATTTATTTTTATTTAATTTTGTTGAATTTTGTTAAATTTTATCAAATCTGTTAAATTAATTCCATGTTATTAGATAATTATTAACCTTACCAGTGATATTATTATATATATTTAAGTTAAGGCAATAAGTATTAACATCTGCACACACAGATTTTATAATCCATTGTGCAGTTCCAAGTCATTTGTACCTAATTATTGTACCGGAGTATTGAATAAAATTATTATTATTATATACGTTTCCGAGGATCTTCTCTTTGAGACTAGGCGAGTGGAGCGAGCAATCCAAGAAAAAAAAAATTAAATTTTAAGGCTTTATATTTTAGAAAAGGGTTCCGAGGATTTTTTTTTTGAGATTTGGCAAGAGGAGCAAGCAATCCACGAAAAAAAAATAATAATTTCAAGGCGTTATATTTACAAAGGGTTTTCACATTTTTGGTGGATTTACGTTTCCGAGGATCTTCTCTTTGAGATTTGGAGATCGGAGCGAGCAATCCACGAAAAAAAAAATAAAAATTCAAGGCGTTATATTTACAAAGGGCTTTTCACATTTTTGGTGAATTTACGTTTCCGAGGATCTTCTCTTTGAGATTTGGCGAGCGGAGCAGGACTTAAAGCGAGCAATCGATAACTCAAAAATAATTTAAATTTCAAGGTGTTATATTTGAAAAAGGGTTTTTCCCGTTTTTGGTAGATATACGTTTCCGAGGATCTTCTCTTTGAGACTAGGCGAGCGGAGCGAGCAATCCAAGAAAAAAAATAAAAATTAAATTTCAACAAGTTGTGGCCCCGATGGAATAAATACCAGTGTGGTAAAGAGCGCCTGTCCTGAGTTGTCTCACCCCTTAGAAGTACTAGTGAATAAATCAATCTCTGAGGGAGCCTGTCAACGGATATCGAAAACTATCAACCGATATCCATATTATCCGTATTTTCAAAAATATTTGAAAAGGTACTACACAGTAGAATAACCCACTTCTTAGAAAGATTTGAAATCTTGGATGCATCACAACATGGATTTAGATCTGGAAGATCCACGGAAACTGCTGCGTACGAGTTTATTGAGTACATCCACGCACAACTGGAACAAAACAGAATCGTAATTGGATTGTTTTTTGACCTGTCCAGAGCATTTGACTCTCTCGACTTAGCTTTTGTCAGGTTAAAATTGGAATCCATTGGAATTCGAGGTAAAGCACTCTCTTTAATAATGTGCTTCCTATCAGAGCGAAAAATACAGGTGAGACTGGGAGAAGATCTGTCTGACACTCACTCTGTTAATATTGGAGCACCCCAGGACTCAGTGCTGGCGCCGCTGATTTTTCTGCTCTTCATCAATGACCTAAAACTACCTGGCCTTACAATTAAGTTTGCGGATGATACAACTGCAGCTATATCGGCTGATAACGAAAAAGAAGGGATGAAGAAGTTGGATGAAATTTGTGACCATATGAGTTCCTGGTGTTTTAGTAATAAGCTTATTCTCAACAACTCAAAAACAGTAACCATACATTGTTATAACTCCAAACCGAAAATTGAGCTCAAGGAAACCAAAGAAACTGTAAAATTTCTAGGAACTTATCTTGACAAACAACTTCAATGGCACACTCAAGTGGATCATGTATGCTCCAAACTCAATTCCGCCTATTTTGCCCTACTCAAGCTTAGACAAGTCGTCGAAAGACACGCGCTATTGTCAGCTTACTATGCCCTAGCCTACCATCACATGTCTTATAATATCATTCTATGGGGACAAGCTGTTGGCATGGGTAGAGTATTCATCATCCAAAAGCGGATAGTAAGGTTAATATATGGCCTTAAACCACAGGAAAGCTGCAGTCCAACCCTCAAGGACCAAAAACTACTTACTCTTCCGTCCATCTATATATATAAGTGTGCGATATATGTATATAAAAACAAAGATAGATTTATAAAAAATGGAGAAAATCATCTATATTCTACCAGGAAAAGCAACGAACTTAGCCTTCCACGACATAGCACTGCTTTATTTGAGAAGTCTCCTCAATATGCATGTATAAAGGTCTACAATAGACTACCAGGAGAAATAAAGACTGAAAAAAGATTCAAAGTTAAATTGAAGCAATTTCTTTGCGAAAATTGTTTCTATTCCTTTAGTGACTTTATGAATAAAAATGTAAATGGGAATGTTTAATACTATGTCTCTCTACGTCAACGCGATCTTCTCTTTGAGACTAGGCGAGCGGAGCAAGCAATCCAAGAAAAAAAAATAATAATAATTTCAAGGCTATATTTAGAAAAGGGTTTTTCACATTTTTGGTTGATTTACGTTTCCGAGGATCTTCTCTTTGAGATTTGGTGAGCGGAGCGAGCAATAGAAAACTCATAAATAATTTAAATTTCAAGGTGTTATATTTAAAAAAAGGGTTTTTCTGGTTTTTGGTGGATTTACGTTTTCAAGAAGGTAAATCAGGTATCAGAAGGTAGATTTTTACTCCTCAACTGTCTGATTAAAGCAAAAAAAGGAAAGAAATTCGAAAATATAGCAGAACTGATAAAGTTGAATTTGAAGGAAAAAAATGAAAAAAATTTGATCTTTGTACCCACAATAAGTAGAGAAGAATTCTTTAATGTTGTTAATAAAACACAACCGTCTACCAGGTCCACACCTAAGACTTCCAATTTAAATTTTTTAGAGCCAATCAGAGCAATAACGAATTCACCGTAGTTTTAATAAATATGCAGTCTATTAGAAGTAAGTTAGCTGAGTTGAATATTTTATTAGATGGTTTAAGCAACCCGACAATAGTATTATTATGTGAACACTGGTTGAAACCATATGAACGGTTAACCTTAGATAATTATGTACTTTTGGACATATTTTGTAGAAAAGCAGGGTACGGGGGTGTAAGTATTATGATTCACAAGGACTTTTATTCTCATTATTTATTTAAAACAGTTGACACTTTTGAAAATCACAAAGAAGAACGCCTATTTGAGTTGTGTGCTGTATATAGTAGTAGCATTAATGTCAAAGTCAAAAGTCAAAAATAGCTTTATTGATATAAGAATTATAACATCTCTTTATCAAAGCAAACTTAAAAATAAAAGTTGTAGCAAATACAGGCTTAAAATTAAAAAAAAAAAAAAAATCATCAAATAAAATGAAACAAGACTGTGCTGCTAAAATACTCTTATAAAATAAACTACATAGATTAAAATAACACATTAAAAGACATTAAAGGTAACATACTTAAATACTAGACATGTATAAAGTAATAAGTCAGTGAGTAAAATATAAGACAAACTAAACTGTAAACGAAAAGACACTAAGCAAAAGTATCACTGAAAAATTCAGCAACCGAATAGTAAGCCCTCCCAACCAGTATCCTCTTTACCTTCCCCCTAAATTGCTCTTTGTTGCATATCTCACGGACATTAGAAGGCAGGTGGTTAAAAAGCTTTTTACTATTATAGATAACAGATTTTTTTACTAGCGTTGTTAAGGGGATAGGTAGAGGAGCAATGTGCGATGACCGAGTTGCATAAGCCCCAGCAGTCAGGATCTCATTGTGGAACTTGTCATGCGTAAGGCAGACTGATTCCAATATAAATATACATGCCAGTGTTAATATTCCGAGCGACAAAAAATAAGGTCTGCAGGATTCTCGGATATTTAATTTACATAAGAACCTAATAGCTCGCTTCTGCAGAATAAAAACTGAGTTAAACAGGTGATCAGAACACGATCCCCAAAAACAGACTCCATACCGTAAATGAGAGTCAATCAGCGCAAAATATACATTTCTTGCCATAGACATGTCTACCTCTCGAGAAACTGTCCTCAATGCAAAGCACCCACCCGAAAGTTTTTTATTCAACTGAAAAACGTGGCTTTCAAATTTCAATTTA